GGCCTCGGCTAGCGGTGCCGCCGGGGGGGGGGCGGCTCTGCCTCGCGGCGCTGCTGCCTTCCTCCGGCCCCCGGCGGGGCCTTCGTGCCTTTCCTTTGTTCTGGCTTCTTGGCGCTTCGCTGCTGGTGCAGAGGTAGTTGTTAGCCCGAGGGCTGGCTGGATGCGCGTCGTGCCGGTCGGGCGCTGCTCGGCGAGGGCTCACCCCCGTCAGGCGCCGGGGTTGGGCAGGGCCAGGGCAGCCAGGGGAATGTGGGCACGCTCCGGGGGCTGAAAGGGAAAAGCTGCGGTGCCTGCCCTCGGGATTGTCTTGTAACCCTGCCCTGCGCTTCTGTCACAACATTTAATTCCACCGAGAGATGTGGCTTTATTACCCTTCTCATGCAGCGCCAAGGCAGTAACTTTAGCCATAATAAATCGTAGTACTTAAAAATGTTCTTCCTTAAACCATCCTTCTGTCAGTGTCTGCAGTGAAATTGTTATGGGATCTGTCTGCAGTCCTTGCAAAATCTGTGCAAACTTTGGTTGCCTTAGTCATAAGAAACAAGAATTTATCCAGTATTTGCTCTGGTTTTTGTAGCAAATATGAAGGTCATCACTTGTGAAATAGCGTGGCATAATAAGGAGCCTGTTTATAGCTTGGACTTCCAACATGGAGCTGATGGGAAGATCAATCGACTGGCCTCAGCAGGTGTGGACACAGCCGTTCGTGTAAGTTTCAGACCTGTTTGTTTTGGGTTTGTGGCACGTGCAGTGGCTGAAATGGCTTCTTATCCAAGGTACGAGATTATTGGCTGGTACATGACACTGGTGGTGGATGGTTTAGGGAAAAAACGTGAGATTGTACAGCAATATCCAGAATGACTGTTCCCCTTGCATACTGTCCTTGAGTTCTGCTGCTGAGTGGTGAACTGTTATTTTTAGAAAATTACCTGCAGTGACTGCTGGGTGATATTCCTGAGTTGTAAGTGCTGATTTAAGGCACAATCTTGTGGGTTAATGAGAAACAACTGGTTTTAATTTCTCTATGTTCATCAAAGCTGAATTTTACCTGCCATTTTATAAACAGTCACTCAGTAGCATGCAATCTTTCTGCAGCCCTGTTCGCTCAGCTTCACATGCACCTCTCCTAAGTAATTTTGTGTTGGTGTTAGCAAACTTTGTTAATCGTTTTTTCAGCCTTTTGAGAATCACTTATGAAAATGCTGAGTAGTACAAGCCCCAAAAGATGTGTCTGTAAGATTCAGCCTTGCAAAATCAGGCAATTGTTTACTGTCTTCCAGATTCTTAACACACATGAGGAATGTCCCCAACATTCAGTGATCTCTTGGTTTCTCTAAAAGCCTTAGCCCTGGTTGGAAAGCCTGGGGAAACTGAGTGCACTGGGTGAACCACATTCTTTTTACCTGCATGTTAGTCAACTCTTTAAATAAAGTTGGTGGACAAGTGAGGCACAATTTCCTTTGCAGATAAATATATTGACTCAATTTTTTTATTTATTTTTCTTTTAACAGCTTCTCTCTATGGAAGGTAGACATAATGGTCAGAGTTTTTTGGGTCACCATTAGAGCACTTATAAAAAAACTGACACACTTGCATCCCCTGTTTTTTGGAGCTGAGAATGAAAGAGTAGGTTACCCATCACTGCTGGGCTGTTCATGTCGCGTTTGAGTTCCTGTAGGTCACTTTGGTATCTGGGCCTGGTGATAACCTGTAAAAAAATTGGGTTTGTTTGTTTACTAAAATATCTATTACTAACCTTTCAATTTGAGACAGTTCCTCAGATCCATCCTGCAATAAAGAAGGGTTCCAACCCGGGACCCTCCCTGTGCTCCTTAGTAATAAGCTCCAATGCAAAAAAATCATGTAGGTTTTCTGCTATGTGTATATGTATCTGTCTTATCTATTTATCTGTCTTTGCATGATAATTTTACATTTTAATTACCTTTCGGGACTGCTCATGTTCTGTCAGGCTTCCATGATGTGATATATTTGAAAAAGAAATAAAAAATATCGTCTTAAGGTCTCATCACATGTGGAATAGGCACAGATGAAGAATAAGGTTTTCTTTTGTATTACTGCTGCATTTTCTTCTGAATAGGGAAATGCTCTGTTTGAGCAGAGGATTTTGAGTTATCGAGATCAGACCTATACTTAAGATTTGGAACGCCTGGACTGGATCCAGATTTGTTCCTCAGGATCCTCAATGCAGTATTTTGTGAAGTATGCCAGTATTTGTTAATGTATTTATTAGCAAATTATTATGAATGGTAACTGCTATGATATGTGCATGACTGGAATGCCTCTTTCTTTTGGAGATGATAAATGGGATAAATGTCATTAAAAATGAGGGGTTTACTCCAGTAACTGCAGCCAAAACTTTTCGCTTTGACACTGGCAAATTGAATTCTTACCTGACAGTGTATGCATTTCAGGGATTTTTGGCTGTATATATAGGTTACTGAATATATATTCAAGTCAGTTTTCGGTGTTCTTTGACATAAAAGATACTGCTGCTATGTCTTCTTTCAGGGGGCTATTGCATGAGGAGGGAAAGCTGGCAAAATTACAGAGGTCTTTATTCAGGCTGCTTCATTGTTTGATATATTCCTATTACGGCCTGGTTGTTGGAGTTTTTTGGTTTAGTTTTTTTTCTGAGCTGAATTGCATCCAAGAGCAGATTATTTGAAACATGTAATGGGATTTAGGTATCTGTGGCCGTAGTCCCACAGTATAGGGACATAACAGTGTTGCTCTCGTGGCTGAATTGGCTCACAAGCAGAGCAGTAGGAGTGGCATCACTATGCCCTGCAAAATTGAGAACAAGTGGGATCAGGAATTCCTTAAGCCAGCCTTGCTGGAAAAGCGTCCAGATCATGCAACTGTCTTAATGCTGTGGTTACAATCAATGGGGAACTGGAATTATTATAATTCTTGCTCAAATTATGTGTTTGAAATTGGTAAATCCATTGTCCTTCAGGGTGTATTGCAAAACTCGTCAACTTGCTCAGACTTCTAAAGAGAGCTAATGTGGTTTTTTCTCCTGTAGTAATCGGGTTTGTTTTCGGACTGTTAGTGCTTGTGGTTGGCGGATTTGTTAACAAGATATTGTAATTCCATACTATTGAATCATTGTATTTATCGAATCCCCTTGAAGCTAGAGGTTGTCAATGAATGAAGAGAGAATGATGTCATGTGTTTGGTTGTTTTGTTTGGGTTTTTTTTAATTAATATATTATATTTAATCAGACTAAGAAAGTACTGCAATATAATTACAACTTGTGGTGGGTTTACCTTGGCTGGCCACCAGGTGCCCGCCAAGCCACTCTTATCACTCCCCCTCCTCAACAGGATGGGGGAGAAAATACAATGGAAAAGCTCATGGGTCGAGATAAGGACAGGGACAAGGACTAATTACTGTCATGGGCAAAACAGACTCAATTTAGGGAAATTAATCTAATTTATTGCCAAATAACAACAGAGTAGGATAGTGAGAAGTAAGAACAAAACTAAAAACAACTTCCCCCTACCACTCCCTTCTTCCCAGGCTCAGCTTCACTCCTGATTTCTCTACCTCCTCCCCCTGCAGTGGCACAGGGGAAGGGGGAATGGGGGTTGCAGTCAGTTCATCACACGTTAGCTTTGCTGCTCCTTCCTCCTCAGGGGGAGAACTCCTCACACTCTTCCCCTGCTCCAGCGTGGGGTCTCTCCCATGGGATAGAGTCTTTCACGAACTTCTGCAACATGGGTCCTTCCCACGGGCTGCAGTTCGTCACGAACTGCTCCAGCATGCGCCCTTTCCATGGGGTACAGTCCTTCAGGAATGGAGTGTTCCAGCGTGGGTCTCCCCCAGGGTCACCGTTCCTACCAGAAAACCTGCTCCTGCGTGGGCTCCTCTTCACAGGCCACAGCTCCTTCCAGGAGCCTGTTCCAGCACTGCTCTCTGTGGGCTGCAGCTTCCTTCAGGGCACATCCACCTGCTCCAGTGTGGGGTCCTCCGCGGGGTGCAGGTGGAGATCTGCTCCACTGTTAACCTCCATAGGCTGCAGGGGCATGGCCTGCCTCACCATGGTCTTCACCACGGGCTGCAGGGGAATCTCTGCTCCAGCACCTGCAGCACCTCCTGCCCTCCTTCTTCACCGACCTTGGTGTCTGCAGTGCTTTCTCACATTTTTCTTACTCTTCTCTCACAGCTGCTGTGCAGTGGTTTTTACCCTTTCTTAAAGATGTTATCACAGAGGCACCAGCGGTGGGACGGTCTCGGAGCTGGCTGGAGCTGGCTGTGTCCAACACGGGGGCAGCTCTTAGTATCTTCTCACAGAAGCCACCCCTGAAGACTTCCCCCCTGCCTCAGCTACCAAAACCGTGCCACATAAACCCAGTACACAGCTGTAGCTCGAAGAGGGAAAATTTGTGGTGCCACTGCAGTGTTAGCTCTGATAGCTTCAGATAAGAAGTTCAGAATGACAGCCCAAGGAGTAAATTGTGGATTGCTGAAGTGGTGCGTATATTTTACATCTTGTTCCTGAAAACTATCTGTAATGCTTTTGTAACTAGATATGGAAAGTGGAAAAAGGACCAGATGGAAAAGCAATTGTGGAATTCTTGTCCAACCTCGCCCGCCATACCAAAGCAGTAAATGTTGTGCGCTTCTCTCCAAGTGGTGAGATCCTAGCATCTGGAGGAGATGGTGAGTAATAATGCGTAATGAAGCTAATATAAAGAATCTATGTTTATACATCTGGTGAGTGAAAGGGAAAAAAAAAAAACAAACCCGATACAGGAACTTGTTCGTACCCCTCTAGCACTTTAGACTCAGTTATGGCCTTCGATTATAATTAGTAAATGCATGTCATGCAGTTCCTAAGTAACAACCTCTCACTGGCTGTGTGTCTGAGAGGCTGTTTTCCAGCTACAAAGTAATTACTATCCCCATTTCCAAGATGGAGAGGTTGAATGGATTACCTAGTGTCATACTGGGAAGCTAGTACAGAGTTTGTAAATTTAGGCTTGGCTGTGCAGGGCCACGTGGTTTTTCTTCAGTCACAGTGAGGACAGCGTTAGATAGGTGTGTGCTCTCTGAGACAGAGCTGAGTGTTGTCTGTCTTAGTGGAAGATTTTTTCAAAAGTGTACAACCGTAGCCAGCTCTAATCAAAAGCAGATTGAAAGCTAAACACTTAACTCTCATCTGATACCTGGAAATCTTAATCTTTTTTAATTAGATAATTAATAATTAAAAAATTATTGATTAAAATCAGTAGTTCACACTGGAAGCTAAAGCAGTCTAGCACCTACTCTTCATCACCACAAAAGAACTGTTTTTCACGTGTCTTATGTGAGAAGATTGTAATGTTGAACTAAATGTAATGCGTTAACAAAACAGCGAGTGGCAAAGGAAGAAGCTTCATATGATTTCTTCTACAGATGCTGTTATTTTATTGTGGAAGCTGAATGATAGCAAAGAATTGGAACCATTAGTTTTTCAGGATGAAGATGAAGCTCAGCTCAACAAGGAGAACTGGACAGTTGTTAAAACGTTAAGGTAGCTTAATATTTTCTGAGTGTGTTTTCTGTTCAGTGTTTCTGATTCCCCAGTGGCTTTTATCATCTGGTACAGTCTTCTATTCAGTGTATGTTGAACTTCAATGCTGTCTAAAATTTGCTTGCTTTAATATTCATCCTTTTATTGTCTTTTAACATTTTTTTTATACAGTGCCAACCTACCACTTCTGTCCAGGCAGAAGATTTGGCATTTTTGTGACATAACTGATGTGCTCTGAAATTGGTTCCCGAGATTTGCAGTCACTTAAAGCTTAGCACAGAAATACATAAAGTAAATGTGAACTTTTATTTACTGGCTTTATAGTGGAAATTTTGATCATTTTTAAAGCAAAAAGCATCAGTATATTACATGATTCATGCAATTTTGCCAGATGATAGCTGTGAGGCTCAACCAATCCTTTTCAACTTGTTCATTTTAATAGTTGAAAACCTACTGTATTATACAGCGTTTGTTTCAAGTGTACAATGGTTAATATAATACACACACTGTGCCTGCTAGGACTAAGTAAGTATTAGCTGATAGTGGCTAAGGGATCAAACCACTGCTGGCAGTTGGACTACAACAGTGTTCTGCTCTCACTCTCAGCTGAAGACTGAAAGGAATTAGTGGTTAAGGACTCTGAAATGCGTTTTGGATGAGCAATATGTATAACTCTGCCCTGCTTTCTATGTAGTATCTGTTAAAAGTTTTGGTCTCTATCTGTCTATACTGATAAAATCATTAAGAATTTACACATTTTTACGAAAAACAAATAACTCTGCTATCCGTAACTGATACATTCCTTGCAACTGCAGAGGTTTATGTGAGAACAGTTTCAAAAGTGCTAGTGGGATTGAATGAAGCATCAGCGTGATCCTTTAGGAACATGAGATTTAATTTCTTAAAGCAAGCAAACAAACAAACCTAATCCCCCTTCCCTAAACTTGGTGTTGCAAATATTTATTATTTAAGTTACCACACTGTATGATAAGTCTTCAAACCACAAGCAATACAAACTGTTTTTGATGGCCCTTCTAGGTGGTTGTGAATATCTTGCAATGTTTGTTCAACTGTATCTAAATCAACCTTAATTCTCTCTTTCATGTGGTTCTGCTGAGTATGCATGTTTGTTTACTGCTTTTATGAAACCCATAAATATGCAGGAAGGTTTTCCTGAATAGTGACACTTCCTAATTACTTTGGTGTAGTGTTTTCTTTTCTGTTTGTACAAATCCTAGAAACTTTCATTTGCAGAACTCTAGGTACAAATGAGTAAATTACTTCAAAAGCAGTGTTTTCATTGTCTATGAAAAAAACTGTTGAAAAGGGAGGCTTCCTTTGAGTAGAAGTAGGATGTGCTATTTTAAAATGTTCTACTGCCTTCTGAATATGGAAGATTTTTAAAAGCTGAAACTTGTATCGTTCATTTCACTTCAATGATACTTTATTTGCCTCTGATTTTTCTTTTAACCTAAAAATGTACAAAACTCATTTTCACATGTAGCTGTTAATTTTTAAATTAATAATTGGTTTCTTCTCTTCTGGCTTCTAGAGGCCACTTAGAAGATGTGTATGATATTTGTTGGACCTCAGATGGAAATTACATGGCATCTGCTTCTGTAGATAACACAGCTATAATGTGGGATGTCAATAAAGGTAAATGCTACATTTATCACTTGTGGCTCCAGTCCTGATGCAAGTGTCTCATGGTATTTACCAAAGGAGTTGAAAGCATCTTTTTTTTGTGAGAGAACCATCCACTTAATTGCTAGACTTCTGGGATTATGAGGCAGATAGCCCAGCATGTAAAGATACGTGTAAATTTTGCTGGCCTGAGGGTAAGTAATCTCTTCACCTTGGAGTATTCAGGAAGTAGACTTCACCCAATGTTTTTTCCCCCAAAACTCCTACGCAAGCAGCTTGTATATTGCTTACTCCACCCCGCACCCCAACAAACAAAACTTGACTGGTATCAGGTACTAACTACCTAGGTAAAAAATGGGAAGCGGGTATAGGATGCAGGCTCTGTTTTGCAAGATGTGACTTCTTTTTTAGGTTCCATTCAGCAAAACACTTCTATTCATGCTCATCCCACCGCAGTGGGATTGCTTGTATTTTCCAAAAAAGGCCCATCTATAGAAGTTCTGGTAGGAACCAGCTAGGTTAGGTTGCTTTACGATGTCTTAATGTCTTCTTATTAGAAGTGTAATCATTACTTTTAATTTAGTGTGGAAATACTTAACTTTCTCTGTAGTTAACCTTTTATCTCATATTTCTAGTATTTAGTGTCTAATTAAGAAAAATTAAGTAGAATCCAGGTTAATTTTTCAGTGCATGCATGAAAATACGAATGTTCTGCTGCTGACATTTTTTGTGTTCTTGGTTTGGGTGCTTAATGTCTCTCCCATCTGAACTGTCACATATACTCCTTTCCAAAAGTCTTTAATACATAAATACATAAATGTTCAATTAAGAGTGTGTGTGCTCAGAGCATTAATGTAGGGGCATTGTGACCAAATGTCTCTTGCATCTTGGACTGCTTGCAACAACTGTAAAGGGACATATCTATTAGACTTATTACTAAAAAAAGCTGGATGGCCCCTTAAGCTGATATGTTACTTATCTGTAATGTCTTCCATCTCACTGTTTTCTTTTAGCATGCAATTAATGCTACAGAGGGCATTTTGTGTCTTCTAGGCAGAGAGACAGCTAGTAAGTTGGAAGTAAGAAGCCATTACTGGAAAATGTAGGCTTTGTGATTGAAGTTGTAGGTACATTGAAGGAAAGAGTTTCAAGGATAGCTTCCAGTAATACCCAGGTTAAAAGATTGCATGTTTTTTTTTAAAAAAAAAAAAAGGCTAAAAGAAAATTAATAGTAAAAATCCATCAGGCTGTTTAGTACAAAGAGAACATCACTGGCTTAATAAGTCCTTGAGGTACAAGCTGTTGGCAACTTACAGGGTATCCTGTAGAAATACCATTACGTGTTTCCTCTGTTCTTATACTCCGGTATCTGTTCTTGGTCGCTGTCTGAGACAGAATACTGCAACAGAAGGACTTTTGGTATTAGGCAGCATGGCCTCAACCCTGTTTGTGTCATCTTTTTGAAGAGCTATTGTCTTTGAAATTTGTCAGGTTACAGTATTTCTTTGCAACAAAGCAACACTATACTAATAGAAGAAAAACCTCTGTCCCTAGTATTCAAAACGAAGTATTTAATGACATTATCTGTAACTTTACCTCATCACAATGGTTTGGATCTGAATTATTCAACTGTGGAACATCAGTGGGGTCAGGGAGCTGATGTCTTCGAGATATCTTCATGATAGAGTAAGCTGTGCAAGAATGTGAGTTAGCACTGCTGTAGGATTGTTTCTGAAAGCTGCCCACGTGTAAGCATCAGTCAGCATGTGTGTAGTATATTTTTTTTTTATTGCCTGCTCAGCAGAGTAGGTGAGTTTGTACAGCCTTAGGTAGGAGACCTTGGCTATCTAGCCCCAGCTGAAAGTTGGAATTTCTGGCTCGGTATTCAGGCAAATTCAGTTAGCTGTTGAACAGCTAGACTTGCCTAAAAAATTTTTTCTAAATCACAAAGATTTTTAAATACTTCTGGTTTTGAAATATACTCATCTTGCATGTTTAATGCCTAAGCCAAGCTGCTTATCTGAGTTAGTTTGTAGGGAACAAGCCTTAAATTGGTATGTCACAATTTACTGTACTTGTGAAGATTCTAGAAATAACGCAGCTATTACCAATATTCTTATCAGGTACCATCAAGTTAACAGTTTGTGTGTTTAAAAAATGATTTTGAAACGTTTTGTCTTGTTTTATTTCTGAAATGAAGAAATGTTTTGAAACACATTTGAATTTAGAATCTGGAAACTGTTTGTAATTTCAGGACAGAAGGTTTCAATATTAAATGAACACAAGAGTTATGTCCAAGGAATAACCTGGGATCCTCTAGGCCAGTACATTGCAACTCTGAGTTGTGATAGGTGAGCTGTTGGTCTAAGTGTTTTGCCTTAGTGTTCTTTCTTAGTTGAGGATGAATTAAAAGCAAGCATATGGGATAAATGTGACTTTTAATTTTATTCAGACTGTTCTGTAAGAAGGTGGATGTGAAATTAAAATGATGCCTTAGTTAATCTTTTGCCTGTGGTAAATTATTCCTGAAGTCTGAGTGTCCCCTCTAAGCAGCAAATGAGCTTACATAAACTTGTGTAGAAATTTTTCTTCAGGAAATAAATTTTCATGCTATTGGTCATTAGAGATACCCAATACATCTTAAGAGAGTGCTGCATTCTCTGGTTGTTAATGAGCTAATAAGTTCATCCTTGTCATTTTACAGAAAGATATAAACAGGTTAAGAAATCATTTGAAATGTTTTTCCATTGATATCTTTCTTTTGCCCTCTTGCTCCCTCCATTGCCAACAGTTTTGTAAGTGATGTCATTGGGAAAGCAAAACACACACTTCATAAACTTGGCCCTTGTCAGAACTTTGAGTTGAGCTTAAGCTGTTTAGGCCATGTGTGCTGCTCTGAAGGGTTTGCAGCTGGCTAATAAATGCATGTCATCTGGCACCCGCTGCAAAGAAAATTGCTGTAATAGTGGAAAAGTAGTTTTGATTTAAGATTTGCAATAGGCTCAGAAAAATGGTAAGTTAATAGTGACTAGGTCATTATGAGCCTCTGCCTTCTGATAATCAGTTATATGAGATTTGTGTGCCTTTATTAAAATGAACAGCAGTGAAACGCAAGTAATAGAATGATGCACAAATTTTTCTTGGAGTGAAGTCGCAAGCGAGGGCATGAACTAATCTGAAGAGGGGAAACCTCCCACCCCCTCAGGTTTCAGAAACTTTTCTGCATGGTTAGTGAATAGCATTGGCTCAACAGGAGTCTAACAGGAGCCAGACCAGTTGCCAGGAATGGGCACTCACCAGCCCAGGGTGGGGAGACCTCTTCCCCCTTTTGGCAGACCAGCTTAGTTGTGTGACATCCAGAGCCAGTAGCTCCACAACTCTCAAGCTTTCTGCCACAGCCTCGCCTTCTATTTTCTCTTCCTAGCTCTGTCCAGGCCTCTTTGTGGAGCTGTTTCAGCACATTAAATCAGCAGAAAGCTGTCTGGTTTTTGTGTTACATTGGTTTTCTGCCAGCCTAACAAACCAACGTAACTCGGTGAGGGTCAGAGCTGACAGAAAGGAGGGGGTGGTGGGACGAGCAGTTGGGTTTGCTTAGGCTACCTGCTGTTTTAGTGAGATGAAGTCAGGGGAGTTCCAAAGTTCTGTACAGAGACATACTCCAGTTTTCATTTATTCCTAAGGAAACTAAAGCATAGAGATGTAGCTAATTGTCTTTGAGGTGAGTTCCTGCACCGCAGGAACATAATGGCTACTGCAGCACAGGCAGGAATGGCATGGACGTTCACTGTCCACTAATTCCCTCATTTCTTCACGAATGCATATGCTGGTACTTCACAAACCTAATTGAGTCAAATAATTGTCAGTGATTCATTGGTTATTTAGCCATCAAAACATGTCCACCCAGTGGTGTCTCATGAACAGAGTTATAATTAATGTGTGATTGTCATTTATATTTGGTAGTCCTGACCGGGAAGTGAGGTGCTGTAATGCTGTGTGAAACATGGGGTGAAAGGAAGCTGTTCGTAGCTAACTGTGCTTTCCGCTGTGTAGGGTCCTGCGGGTATACAACACACAAACCAAGCGTGTAGCATTCAATGTTACCAAGATGCCGTCTGGATCAGGAGCTGAAGGAGAGGTACATTGTTCTGCCTCTAATGGTACTGGAGAATGCACTGGATGCTATTTTATATGAGTTGTTCTATTCTATGAAACCAAAGGGGCAAATATTTTTCCATTCAAGTAATCCATATATCAGATACTTTTGTCTCTATCTCACCTTTGCATTTCATAAATAGAGACCGCTTCAGGTTTCCTTGAACATTACAGAAATTACTAAGAAAGAACACTTGCAAGTTCAGCTGATTGAAGTAGTAACACAATGTCTTTGTAAATGTTAAAAATAGTGTGGAAAAAAATAGTGTGCATAGTGACTTCTTAATAGGAAAAACTTCAAACATGTCTGTCAGTAGCTGTAAGTTTATTAATGGATAATACATAGCAATAATATCTTAAAGTCAGCAGCCTGAAATTTTCAGGAAGGTAGTCTGCTTTTCAGGAAAAACATGAATTAGTGAAAATTTAGGAAATTCTCTCTAACCCTAAGAGGGAGAACAAAGAGCTTTTTTTCCCCCCAAACAGTTCTAAGTGATAGTAAAATAACACCTCCGAGCTGGCTATAACCTTTTTAATTCCTTCTCTTCCTTTTCTTTTTTTGTGAAAACATTTGTAACAGTTTTATAGAGACTAAAGAACAGGCCTGAGAGGGGGCGTTTTGCCATTATAGAAGTTCTCTTTAAACCTCTAATACTAGAGTTAAAATTAAATGCCTAAGGAACAGGCTTTTATGTTGACTGTTAAATAATGTTGTTCTCCAGGTTATTACTATTTTTTAATTACTGGTCTAACGTGACTGCTTTTGGAGTGTTTTGATTAGTAGCTGAAGAGGGATCAAGGACTATTTTTCTTAGCTGTGAAGAATTTATAGCACAGCAGAAAGTGAGTTTGAAAGAGCCATGGTTTTTAAAACATTTATCTTTTATTTAAAAAGTTTCATCAGGTTGGATTGTACAACTGGATGGTTTTTCTCACTTGAATTCCAGCTGACACGTTCATGGCACTTTACACAATCATATTTTCAATGTTACAGGCTAGGAGCTATCGGATGTTTCATGATGACAGCATGAAGTCATTTTTCCGCAGGCTCAGTTTTACTCCTGATGGCTCCTATTTACTCACTCCAGGTATGTGAGAACGTGTGCTATAACTTACATTGTATCTATTAAGCTCTAGTTTGAGTGTGCATCAAGATTGCTTTCAAACTGCTAGGGGATGCTTGTTTATCTTAATTATGCCATTCCTCATTCTTCCTATTGAAGAAAACAGAGACTCCACAGTACTCGTCCATTAGCAGTCCAGAACATCAACTTTATCCTGTGACAAAAATTGTATTTGTGGCATTTTCCTTAACAGAAACATGTGAATTGCAACAATACAGCTCTGTTAAAATAGAAATGAAGAATAATGAGTGGTTTCTTTTGACTGGTCTCTCTTTGTTTGTATCCTTTCTTAAGAACATTGTGCAATCATAGTAAAAATAACATTGCAAGGAGGGGATCAGTTTGCCCATATAAGCACTGCTTTTATAGATGTCTGGCAACATCAAAAAGAAGCTTTGAGGGGGAAGTATACAAGGGAAACAAAACCAGCACTAAATAAATATTTGGGATGCCTTTTTAAGTTGTGTTCAGGTTGCACAGCTCTTGCCAACTGACAAGCCTAATTCCTGAGAAGTAGAATGTTTATGGACATGAAGTGTGTACTCTGTACCTTTTTGAGTTGATGAGTAATGTTTTAACCTTTATTTTTGCAGCTGGATGTGTTGAATCAGGAGAAAATGTAACAAACACGACATATGTTTTCTCCAGAAACAATCTTAAAAGGTAGAGTTTAAGAAGATCAAAACATCTTTTTATTAAAAAAAAAAAAAAAAAGCTGTTTTCTGAAATACTGATTCTTTATAAAAGGCCCGTGGGTCACCTGCCATGTCCTGGAAAGGCAACTCTTGCTGTTCGCTGCTGCCCGGTCTACTTTGAGTTGAGACGTGCATTTAATAAAGGTACTGTAAATCCTTCTGGGAGTATGATTTTACAGCAAATATGTGAAAAGGCCAGTGTGGCTCTTTACTTTTTTTTTGTGCCCTAGCCTTTTAACATTCTGTTAAGATAGTGTTGTACCACATCTTAGAAGCTGTTTCCTGATTCTAAGACCCTGAATTCACCTTAAGTACCTTGTGAGTAGCTTTTGATATAGTCGCTAAATGTTCTTACTTGGCCTCTTAGACTACAGAAACACTGTTTAATATTTTTCTTTAACTTTTAACCATTTTGTGTGAGTAAAAGTAAATAACTTGGCTTAGCACTAAAGAAGTGACCCAGTGAAATATTTTCTATTAGTCTCAACTACCCACATCACAGAAGCACCAGAGAGTTGGTGTAGTTTGCAACAACCATTTGCTCTTTATTCAAGGAAGCTAAACCTGAAGCAGTGCTGGTGTTACTGGCCAGAACAGGAGTTCTGAGGATTGTATGAAGTTGCATGAGAACCTACCTGGAGATTGAAATCCAGCCTTACTGTGAGCCCAGTGGGTCCAGAAGTGTTTCTATTTTAACAAGACCGGTCTTACTCTGGTGAAAACGCAGAGCTTTGCTCCTTTCTTTAGGGGGTCAATTTGTAGTATTCCTTACAGGATTTGGAGATCAGCTGTTGTTGTGTTCTGTATTTTCATCATAATCTTTAGATCCATTGTAATGGTGTGTTGCAAAGTAAGGAGATGGGTATCTGCTGTTGGTCTCTGCAGCTCCTCTAAACAGAGGGTTTAGTTTCTTCAACATACACCCATAAAAGTGAAAATCTGTGGTGGTCTAGAAATCTGTAGATGTGAGTACTTTACATTATGTTAATGGCCTGTCTGTGTCAGCGCATGGTTTCCATAATCATTGTAGAGCTAAATGGGAGTTCTGTATACTAGGAATTTCTGAAAGCAGCTAGAATAATCTGCCCTTACAAAGAACTAATGTTGCAATGATAAGACTAGCTAGGAGCTGAACCTGAGATAACACAAACAGAGCTAAATCCATTGTTCTGACTGAGTCATACAGAATATAGTGTGGTGGTATAAATGTGTCATGACCTTGATTTGCACTATATCCTAAGGCGTGTTTGTTTGGACTTCTATGCTAAAGTGCATATAAATGTGCTGAAAAATTTCAGCTGGAAAATATATGCCAAACTTTACAAAACAAAATAATAGCAATCCAGATAGACCAAACTTCTGCCAGTTTCTCTGTCTTAAGCTAAGACAATAGAGGGCAAACTTCAGGCAACAGAAATGTTAGTGCTTGACATAAAACTTTACATTTTATGGAACTGCTGTCTTTATCTTGATCCTGATTAATAATGAAATCTTTATTTAGATTCATGACTAAGCTAGTGCAGTTACTACCTTGCAATGAATACAAGAAAGAATTCTCAATATATTCATTTCTTTGTATTCTAGATGAAATCAGTCAGAAATCAACTCCTGCTCTATTTAATCTGCCCTATCGATTGGTGTTTGCTGTTGCTTCAGAAGATTCTGTTCTTTTTTATGATACTGAGCAGTCCTTCCCCTTTGGTTATGTTTCTAACATACATTATCACACCCTGAGTGACATTTCATGGTAGGTAATTGTTATATTGTTAAGATTTGTTCTGATGGAAATGTTCTTTTTACATGTTGAAGTTCTGCATGTCTTCTGTCTTGCTTTATTTTTATGTTTTGTTTATGACACACATGTGGTCACTGTCATCGCAGTGTCTGAACAGCAAGCCACCTCTTTTTTTCCCTGTAAACTGGAGAATTATGGTTCTTTTATCGATTGGGAAACAAGGTGCAAGCACCCTGAGGACAAGTAGATGAAAGTTTTTATGAAAGCTAATGTACTTGGTGCCCATGAAAAGTACTCACTGTAGAGGCAGTGTAACTACTAATAATGAAGTTATTCGGAGGTTTTGAAAGTAATCTCTCTGAGTTCAGGTGTTGTATCCTAGCTAAATTCTGCTTTATCTGCGCAATTCTGCTTAGTGATTCTTTATGTATGGGATGAAGTAATTTATCTGACTTGATGTAGGGAGTCAGAACTGGAGCTGCAACTTGAACCCAAGTCTTGAAATCAGGATACACCCCTCTGCCAGACAAGGCTTCTCTCATGCCTTTCTAGCCAGTATACCTAAGCTGAGGACCGCATGGAGGCCTCTTTTTCAGAAGTTACAGTTGATGGTCAGACACTGTGAAAACCATTGTGTGCCAGGAGGAGGGGAGTGGAAGAAAGTAGAAAATCAAGTGGTTTTAATCAGTGATAGGCATTACTTGGTGAAATGAGCACGGAGGGCCCGTTCAGGTGAGCACCACGGTGATTCTGAACATTGCCTATACTTAGCAGAAGGAGCACAGCCAAAGAGCTTGAACTGCTCTGCTGGTCTCAATGAGGGGAGTTCAGCAATGTTTCAGGAACTGTGGCTGAAGATTTGGGTACCTGCAATTGAACCATACTTTGTGCCAGCTCAAGTGCATGCAGGTCTTGGCAGCAGCATATTGCAGGTGATCACAGACAACACCAGAGAGATTAAATCAGATGCGAAGGCCAGAATTGAAAATCTTTTGTTCATTTGGATTGGATGTCTTTCACTTGACCAGTTTTATTTAAACATATACATGTACTTGGGGAAGGGAGGAGGAAAAAACAGGTACAGCGTGTGTTATAGATGGGGGGGTGTGGGTTGAAGAAAAGTTCTGACCTTTCCTCTTAATGGAAAAAAAAAAAATCACAAATAGGTCCAGCGATGGAGCCTTTCTTGCTATTTCTTCCACGGATGGATACTGTTCATTTGTTACCTTTGAGAAGGAGGAACTGGGAATACCACTGAAGGAGAAGCCACAGATAAATGTCAGGACTTCTGGTGCAACAGAGAAGAAAGTGAAGAAGAGCCAGTCGCACAAAGTCATTTCCCCTGGCTCTAGGCTGACAGAGGGGACTCCTCACAGCAGGGCCACTGATCCCAGCACTCCCACCCTCCAACCTAGAACACCCACAGCTGCCAGTAAGGACTTTCCTTCCACACCTGTTGGCATAAAAAATGTTCCAGTCTCATCCTCAGACGAGAGGAAAATCAGCCAGCCAGCTAGCCAGAGCTCTAAAGTAAACCAGCCCAGGAGGATTACTCTCAACACTTTACAAGCATGGAGCAAGACGCCAAGGTGAGATTTATATTGCCATTTCCAGTCATAAACACGAAGGCCAAGACAAGCTGTGCTTGTGCTACACTTAAAGGGTTGAGGTTCAGACATAAATTTCCAGCCCTGTGTCTTGGTGGTAGCTGTCTTGACATGGAACTTTTTGTTCCAGTTGTACTGCAACTGAAAGGTCAAAATGTCTCCTGAATCCTAAATGTACAGCTTTTATATTTGTCTGAAACGTGAGGCAGTAGCAAAGTTAACCTGACCGTTACGCCTTGTCCAATGGCAGCAACAGGTGTCTGTCTTCAGGTCCCATTTTCTGTACAAAGATGGTACCTGAAGCTTTCAGCTGGCAAGAGCTATTTAAAGACTCTTCTGACAAGGAATATTTCAAGAAGTAAAGAGTGCAAGTCTAGACAGGCCCTCAGTGTGCACAGTCATGGGTGTGGGACTTAATGCATTGATTGAGGTTATTTTCTAAGGTGAGGATCTAGGTTTTTAGAAATTGCCTGTAATCCATGTATTGATTGTCAAATAACCTGCAATATAAGATCCTGAGCTGGTGTGCAACAGTAAGGAGACAGCCATGCAGTTAGAGATCTAGACCTTGTCAGCAAAACAAGGCTATTTTATAGTTAAAGGAGATTATTATAACTTCTCAAGGGAATGTTTTCATTAGCAGGTGGCTAGGGAGGAAGTGGTGAATGAGAAAGCGGATAGTGGATTTCATCAACAACTGCAAAGAAAAATCTTGGAGATGATGGCTTTCTACACACCAGTGTTCATCTGTACTGGAACTAACAAGTCAAAGGGTTGTAGGTAGTTGAAAGTGACTTTTGCTTGGAGGGTGAGGTGACTGATGGAGCTAATTAATCTTTTTATTTTTGAGAGAGAGAAATTATATTTAATCATATTAACTGATTATGCCATGAGTGTCATCTTGTAGTAGCATGCATGGTGCTACTTGTAAGACTGGTTTTTTTATGGTTCAATCCTTTGCTGCTTTTGTGCTTAATTTTTAAGTGCCATCCAGAAGAGATTTAGCAGAAGAAAATAGATTTACAGTAATTGTTAGTGGACCTCAGTGGGCAAAAGAATTCCCTAGAGTTTTATGAATCTGAAGTGTTAACATGGACAGGGCTAGGGAATAGTAAGCTCTTCCAGTGGAACCGGAAGCCTTACCAGGTACCAAGAAACAGAATAAAATCCTTGCCTTTGCAGCCAGTCTTAATCTTAAAATATTTGACCAAGATACTGTGCTCTGAAGGTGAATATCAAGCATTGTGCCACATATAACATATGCAAAAATACTTTCTAGTGGAAAAGATCACTAGTGGTATTTGAAGTACTTCTAAAAAGCTCTGTTCAATATATAACAAGAAGAAAAAACACGTAGTAAAATATTTCTAAACTACTTTTAAATTTAACTGATTCTATCTGAAATCAATCTTTAAATAAAGTATTTGTGGAAATGATGGCTTTAAAGCAATTGAACTGTTTCTGCTCTTTTAAAGGAGAGTAAACTTGATTCCACTGAAGCCAGATACGCCAACCTCTGCATGTACGGATACAGTCCCTATACCTCCTTCCTCAGAACAAGAACATGGTAAGCTTTTGTGGCCGTTAATATCCAGCAAAGTCTTTTGCCAGTCAGTTTTTTCCATGATAGACTTCTGTTATAAGCTATAAGCTTGTAACACAAGCACGATCGAGCGCAAACCTAAACCTAGTTGCAGATTCTAAAGCTTCTTCATTGTCTTGGTGTGTTTGAAAGGTGCTTTTGACAAAATGAAATGTGTTCTTGCTGCAGTTGCTCTTGGGCAGCTGCTTATGTGACAATATGTCACTACAGTTTTTATAGTAATGGGCACAGTAGCTGACAGTGAAACCAAGAAGAGTAAATTCACTTGGATGTAATGTCTTCCAGGTCCTACAGGTAAGTTTTAAAGACCCTTGTACTTTCAGCACCTCATTGTTCAAGATGCTGGACACTCAAACTAGGGTTGGGTTGGTTTTTTTTGTGAGTGCTGAATTGTTTGTGAATTCAGCAAACCAATTTACTTTCTTAATCTGGATTTACTTAGCTTAAATGATTTTCCTATCTGCATGTTTCAGAGAGGCCATTACCATCTGATGACAGTCTTCAAAATCCCCCAGCATCGAAACGTCCTAGAACTGAGGAAGTGTCTCTTTCTACATCTACTGAAGATCAAATCAGCTGCAATTCAAACAAATAAAGGCTAAGCTTTTAGTAGACTCTTCACAGTCTGAAGGCGATGCAGCCATATCTGAGAGTGCATTTCTTTTTGCATATGTTAAAGCCTCAATTCGTGATTCAAGTACCATATGCATATTTAACGTAGTGCTGTGAAGAAAGAAGCTGGCAGTAGAAGACATAGGTTTCAGGAATGTAGCTTTGCAGAAGAGGAAATAGTTGGGAAATGAATTCTAAGTGCATTTCTACTTCTTGAAGACAGCATTCTTCAAGAAATGCCACAACATAAGGAAATCAGGGTATTGAAAAGCCATACAGTAACCTAAGAGTCTCCATCAAAGTCCCTAAGTTGATGTTTATAAAGTATTATGTCTTTCAGCAACTTGTCTGGCAAAAGAATAGAATTTCTAAGGACTTAATCATAATGATTTGATGTGGTTTAAGACAAAAAAAAAAAAAAAAAAAAAAAAACACACCACCAGTTTCATTCAAACATCTTGGCTTATATGTTTAGCAATGTGCAAAATAATTCTCCAGTAGATGTGGAATGGAAGCCGAGGTTCACATGCTCTGAATGCAGCAGCATACAATATGACTGATATGATTGAAACAGAAATCAGAACTTGTAACTGCAAGAAACAAGAAAGCAAAAGGAAGAAACCCTCTGAAGACCTGTTAGAAGCATTAAACAGCAGAAGTAGTTCTTAATTGTTTACTTTCTGTATTTAAAAAAAAATGCAGACATGAGATTTTCCTGAGGCAGCAGGATTTGAGCGTATACATTAGAAGCTTCCTCCTTTTCATTTTTCCAAATCTTAAATCCCATAGCCAATAAAGTATAATATAAATCCAGTGTATATTAAACTTCTAAAAGTTACTTTCTTTTTAGCATTTAATACTTGCTATATAATTGAACTAAGACACGCAGATTGAAAACAACGAGACCAAAATATTTGAAAATCACTACACTCGATTTTCCATGGTGTGCAGACTTAGCCTCCAGAAGCAGAATGCTCAGCCACAGTATTCTGAGCTTGTCCACTTCATTTTCTTTAACAACATGTGCTTGTTTTTAAAAAGTAAGATAATCCTTAAAATGTGAATAGTCATTCTAGCTGATAATAGCATGTAGAAGTTTTAAACAGAATTTTCTCTTATGATTTAGCCTCTTTGTCTGTCATTTGAAGTTCCACAACACACCGGAGGGGAAAGCTGCAATTCAAATTAAAGCTCTTTGACTTTCATTCTTCCCTGGATTTGGTTGTTTTTGAGGTGTGTAATTTACTTAGTATTTGGTTTTTGTCAGTTTCTAAGAAGGTGGACTAATACTTCAGAAAAGCAGAAATACAAATATTTCGGAAGTGATTCATAAAAATATCATAAGGAGGAAATATTAACAAATACCTATGTCAGTGTTTCAAGCAAGTGAAGTACGTTGCCTACAATTCAATTTCAACAGAAATTAGTAAGCAAAGAGTTGTAGGAAGCTAACTGTATCCTTGCTTTCAACCACTGAGATGAGAACGGAGCTTCATTAGGCTTACCCAAACTTGGGTTTTCCTCTAGTGAGGAATATAAGGACTTAATTACCAAGCAAAGCCACATCTAAAACTGTTTTTCCCCCAAAAGTTTATAGAGATATCTCAATTAAAGTTTGTAGAGCCATCTGAATTGATAGCTAAAGCAGATATCTGTAACTAACATGCATGGCTGGACTTGCTATTTTATGTTTTGTCCAGTTTGAGTTATGAGAACACTGGTGTTTCATCTCTCTGTGGGACAGTGACCCACTTAGTACAGTACTGCAGTGTTTCGTTTTGTGCACTGCAAAGGATCCTTTGAATTCAAACTTGCACTTCTGAATAATAATTGCAAAGCTATCCTGATAGGTATTTTTAAGTCTGTGGTTTTTTGTTTGTTTGTTTTTTTACAGTGTATTTCAATGTAAAGTACTCTTTCTGTTGAAAACTAGTGGGTTAGGTATATTATTTTAGGGTTACTGGCATACCCAGTCTCTGTGGTCTTCAGTCTTCAGATGCAATTAATTGCCAGAGTATTCATCTTTATTTCATACCATAACTGTTCAGGTGACATCCACATTTGTTTATATGGTTGCTTAGCTTATTTTCGCTCTGCCTTGCAATCTAATCGGAGCTGTAAGCTTACCGTGGCTTTGACTGCTTCCATGTGGAGGTTATTTCCCCATCGGGATATCTGTCAGAGTGTTCTACCTGGTATTTCGTCTTCCCTAATAGGATTTTTTTCTTTCCCTTAGTTCTAGTTGTCTCTTGCCACTATGATTTCCTACTTCTCTGTTTATTCTGTTACTTACTACTTCGTTGTCAAATTTATACGGCACTTGGATTTTAACCTTTTTCTATAAATGGATGCCATCGTTCATATAATAAATTTCTATCTTTAACACTGTGACAGTCAGAACTGTAGATTCCTGGGTTTTGTGATCCGTGTTTCAGGCTCCAAGGGGCCATCCCCACATAACATACGTAAGACATTGAAAACTATTCTCACACTGTTTATAGAAAGTGGGTTATGTTTTGTTCTCAGTCATGCACTAGACTCTGCTCCAAGGCAGAACATGCCCAGTGCCATTTCTGTTCTTTCTTTACTGCTTTGTACGGTGATGTATTGCATAGACATAATTCTTTCAAGGGTGCTCTATAGTCCAGGTTTGACTTAAATGTTATTTTTTAACTGGCCAGCTGAAGTGTTTGTCTTTCAAATGTACCCTGAGTTCGTATTCCAGCTGTGAACATGGTGTAGGTGTCATCTTCTTGGGTCACATTTTGCTCAGTGCCTTCCATAAGGATCTTGCCCACTCTAAGGACTATTATCCTGCTTGTACTATCTTGATGAGATAGCATTATGGAAAAATGCCCTATCTGCATCTTTTGACCTCACAGCAGTAAGAAGAGGGAGCCGAACTCGTAGAAGTAACTTCTGTAAGAGGCATAAGTTGCTGTTATACTCAGGGAACTGTGAAACTTCGTTTGCGACGTTCAAAGCCTGGGTGCATCAACACGTTTGGTACCAGTGTATGTCAGTGTCCCCCAGGCCAGTCCCCTGAGAACCCCAAAAAAGAGCACAGTCGCACCAAGTCATTTCCCCAGGCTGACAGAGGGGACTGCTTGCTTGGGGCGGGGTGGACCAGGTGACCTCCAGAGGTCCTGTCCACCCTCACCCATTCTGTGATCCTGTGAATGCTGCCGTTTCCAGTTTGGCATGGTTTGAATGAGCAAGTGATTTAACACAGAAGATGGAAAGGTTACTTGCCCGTCATGGGCAGGCACTGTGGTATGTGGTCTTCATGTGCCGGTTCTTCCCATCTTCAGAATCAGATGGATTTTGCACGGGTGCATGAAGCGCAATGAAAGGCGGGGAGTGAACACATCTGTTATGGCTGCTGCACAGATAAAGTCTTCTGCGTTGTCTGATAGTGTAAGTATCTATGTGGACTATGTATCTCAGAGAGTTCAAGGTACAGGCAAGTGATCCTTCCCCTTTTTCAGACTGGTTTTTGTGCGCATCTTACGTGTACTTACTTCTCTGATAGTAGATCTTTTAAGAGGTCATCTTTATGTCCCAATTCTGCATACTCTCTTATTTAAATATACGTGTCTGTATGTATGTCTAATCATTTTTGCATGTCAGAAAAATGGTTCGTTCGTTACCTTAAACCCTGTGGCTTTTTTCCTAAGTTCAGCGGAGGGCTGAAGAAGCCCGGGCTGCAGAAGCGCAAACCATGAGACTCCTGTGTAAAATCCAAGTGCAGAGCGACCGCTGGATGTCACTCTTCTGACAGCATTCCTCCTTCCAGGGCTATGGGGAAAAATGCGACCCGCAGCAGGAAGGGGAAAGAAAACACAGTTTCCTTTTTAAAAACAAGTTGTAGGTGAATCTATACAGCACATGTATGTTATCACCAAATAAATTGGTTTTATTGTTTATACAATTTTCCTCCTAAGAAGATGGAGTTTGTCTTCTTAGGAATGACATTTTGTAATTGACTAAGGAAAGTAAGTCCATACCATGACAGCCTTTCTCTGTTGGGAGATGCAAAATGATGAACCTGAAACGCCGTGTGCAGCCCCGAACTTCCCAAGAACGTCTTAAGCATCATTTCTGTTGAACAGCTCTTTGAAGAGGGAGTGGGAGGGAGCTGGAAGGTATGTGGGCCATCTGCTTGGTATAGCTCCAGCTTCAGCCAGCTTTTGAGTGTCTTGCCATGAGTTCCCAGGTTGTGATACACAGATTGCTACAGGTACGCAAAGTATTTCAACATCCAGGAACTGCTGCCGCCACCACCAGTGCGAGCACGTACCGCTCGGGGGGGGGGAGCTGGCAAAAAAGAAGAGAAAAATGTTTGCATGGCCCACCCGTAAGTCACAAACCAGTTAATCGTGTGTCCATATAACAATACCATATTATCTGTCCTAATCTGTTTTAAAAGCTTGCACTGCCATGTTGTCTTCCAGCCCCTTAAAAGGAAATTAAAAAGACGAGGGCAGGTCACGCAAAGCCTGGGAGAGAGTGGCCGTGGAGGGTGACAAGTGCAAGGGCAATATGGAAGCAATCCTCACACATGAAACGTCTTCTGTGTGCAAGAGCAAAAAGATGTACAACTCCTCACTTATTTGTCATTTTTTATTCCTGCCTGGAAAGACGCTTCTTGCTGCTTCCACCGCGTGTCAGGCTAGTGCTGCCCAGTCAAGGAGCTGCCTTTTCCATTGATGAGTTCATTGCTAGTTAAAATCATGAGGATCTCTTGCTCCTCAACAAAAACATATGTGGACATACCACCTTAAAAAGGAAATACTTCTGTGAGCCACTGAACTAGTGAGGCCTTCTTTCATAGGGATACACAGCTAATTGCACTAGGGGTTTCAAATAGATTTTTCAGCTTTTTAGATGGGGGAGGATTTATGGTTGTCTTGCTCCTGGAAAGACTTTCTGGTGTGTAATAGTGGCTAATTTTTAGACAGCTAGACATCATGCTCCTGTGCT